CTTATGTTGAGGGAAGTGCACTGTTAAGTGCTTAGTGTTATTCTACTTGATTCAGTAATGCTTCACAAATTTGTCGGGTGTTTCTATAGATAAATGTAATGCAATTTTATAGGTTTAATCCAATAACATGTTTACAAATGTTATGTTATTTAAAATTAAAGACAAATGCACAAAAAGTGCTGAATGTAGCAGAATAGCACTCATCCATATTGGAAATTTGACACATGGAATACACACAGAGGAGCAAGCCCTGTTTTGCAGTTAATAAATCCTCTCTTTTTGCACAAATTTGGGGTTTCCCAAGGAATTATTCCTTCTGTACAGCAATAACTTTCTCTTGGCTTCCCATAACTTCGGAGATACATGGATGGAATACAAGTAAAGGCTTATCCCATTTGATAGCTGATACTTTCCATGCCTCTGGTCTCTATCAAAAAAAAGAAAAGTGCAACTTTTCCTATTTTTCTAACCTCATTTAATCAATACTACAATGGCTGTTGCACCTCCCTACTTTCTTGTTTCTCCCCAGCTCAAAGTATATCTTTCGACATGTTTTTTCTCTTCCTTGCATCTCTAAAGTTCATCCAAATGTGCTTTACTCTGATTCATGCTTTCCCAGAAGCCCTAGACCTGTGGAATGTCTAACCTCCCTCAGTCTTCTCTTCCCCACTACAATGTACATGTTTTTAAAGCCTAAACTTGGCATCCCCAAACCACTTCTTGACTTATCTTGTTTTCTTTGCTACTCCTTTCAACCTTGGTCATGTACTGTACTATGAGCCTTGGCCCTTTATACAAGTTCTCAAAGAAAACAAATTGCACAAATTTTTATTCTTTCCCTTGTCCAGCCATTGCTTTTATCTTACCCGCATTTATAAAATAGTTTTTTTTGCAAACGTTTTATATGGATTTTACTACCGGAATGCCTTTTTAAAATGAAACTTTGTAAAATAAATCTGTTTTACGTAAATATCAGAATTGGAACACTAAGCCGTTTATTGTGACTCATTAATCAATAGTTTCAGCTTTATTAAAACTCGTATCCCAATGACAGATTTCCTTTTATGGGAAACGTATTTGGTGAGAGTCAGACTAAGCTTTGTAATATGCATCCTCTGGGTGGGTGGTACTGAGCAGTACATTGCTTGCTGATTCATTGATGTTTTATTAAAAGCAGATATTGAGCTGATTTTTTGCCAGTTGTTTGAACATTTTTACAGCTATGGTTTATAGCCATTTGCAGGGGAAACAACAGAAATGCTTGTATCTGTCAGGGAACTGTCATCGTCTTTGATTTTTATTGCCAACAAAGACTGTTTACTGTAACCCAAAAAATCATACTGTATCTTTATTATTCATCTTTTCTGACCTTAAAAGTAGTGTATTTTATTCAAAGACTTTGGTTTGGTGTCTTCACCAGTCAAAAGCTGCACTCTGCTGAAAATCTGTTTTTACTTGTGTAAGAATTGAAAACTGCTGACTTTGTAATGTTTATTGAGGTGCAAATTTGAATTTGTGACTGTGTGCAAAAATATCCAGGAAAAAGATTGGTAGAAATTTAGCACCAAAATACCTGGTGGACTTAGGAATGTTTTTAGAATATTTCTGTGATTGATATATTGGTTTCCTCCTGATGTTTAAATGACACAACTGTAGAAACAGCCAGGAGGAAAAATCAAACCCTTCCTTCCCTTCCGAGTGGCATTCTGTTCTTTGTTGGTAAATTTATCGACCTTTGGTGAAACAAGTATTATTCTTCACTTGTCGTTAAGTTTAGAGACCATGGTGTAGTCTTGTAATAGCTTTCCTGTTAAGTCCCCATTGCGAAAACTTGATACGTTTATTGATGAGAGAATAACCTCCCAGATGTTCAGAAAACTGCATCCATGTAGAAACCTCTTGATGGACCCTCCCCATGAACAAACATTCCCTTTAGTTGGTAATTCCTATTAAACAATCAGCCTTTCCAGTCTATCCAAAGCACCTGTACTATACAAGATGCTACAAGTATTGTGTGAAGTAATTGCAAATACATGAAACATTTATTTTTGTGACCCCACTGCTTTGTTTGAAAAGCAATAAAACATGTTAAATGAGTCTAGGACGTGCATGGAAGGAGAAAAGGTTGCCCTAAAATGAACACTTTCGTAAGAAGGTTCAAATTCCCATGTCTAATTTATAATAAAGGCAGAATTTAAATTAAATACTTTCTGTAAGGGAATAATTTACTAACTCACACACATAATTAACAATGTTAGCTTTTAATTGATCTAACAAGTTACTTTTTAACTTGTATTTCTTCCTCAAGATTGTCTTATTTGTTCCATGACTGAGATCACTGGCCAAACCTTCAGCTGCTACACCTCCACTCTCTGAAACTCCTTGCCTCAATCCCTCCACCTCTTTACCTATAATTTAAATCCCACCTGAAAATCTACCTCTTCAACAATGGTGGCCTCGCTCTCCCACTTCTCTTTTGCTCGGCATCCAGCCTCATCAAAATACAGCGCTCATAAGTTATTCTATGTGAGTGGTGCTATATAAGTGGATGATGATGTTGTTCTGCGATATTTCTCTACTAACATCATAAATTTAGCTTTAAAGTAAATTGAACAAAATATTTTTTTAAGGTTCCCCCTGACCCTCATTGTGGTTTGAATTTTAAGTCTCTTTCTAATTATTGTTGTTTTGTAATCTTTAACTACGTACTGTCTAGAATTAGGTAAGATCCTGAATTGACAATGTAATGCAATGCTTGTAGTACAATAACTTGTTGAGACCTGGTGCTGTAGTTTGGCATCTGCCATTGAATACTGTATGTTGTTTGTTGTTTTGGGCAGCTCTGTTAAACAGGGAGTAAAAGCACCATGGCCAGCCAGATCATGCTTTCACTTAGCCATTCTGCTCTTTGTCTATCAACAACAACAAATTTACATTTATATAAAGCTTTTCAGGTCGGGAAGATGTCCCAAAGCGCTGGTCAGTCCAGGGTTTGCAACTATCAGAAAGGGAGACTTAAAAATCAAACAAAAATGCAAAGGGAAAAAAATCACAAGTGCTTGTATGCAAACACGAGCAACTTCTTAAATAAAAAAAAGTGCTGCTCACTTTATTTCAAAGTTAAATTGACTATGTCGGTAGAGAAGCAGGTCTTTGATGATAAACTGCTCTGTAGGAGAGTGAGCGGTCTGGCTACAAGTTAGGAGCAATATAGTAGTAACTGTGTGTGTGTGTGGGTTGGGGGGAGCTTAAAATTCTAACGTAGATACCATTTGCAAGCTCTATTGAGCAACCTTCACATACCTCTAACTTGGCCCAAGTCGGTTGGTTTTTTCAATGGACCTTGTTGACTAGAAGATAATCACAAAATGGATAGTTGAGTTGGATTTTACTATTGCTTGGAGCTCCTAAATGCAGTTATAAAGGTGCTGCAACTGAATTGATCAAGGGGATATCAATTCATGCTGTTTTCCTAACATTTAATTCTGCAAAGTGGTTACTCTGCAGGTTGAAGTAAGCCAACTGGAGTTGTTGCTATGGGGATAAAAAAAAATTGGCTCCAAAATGGAATGTCTTTTGGCTGCAGGAGGCAAACAAGAGTTTGTTGTATTAACTCTGAGACAATTAAGAACAATTCATAGAGCCAAGGTCTCTTTTGTAGGTAGCCAGAACTGTGTTCAGCTAGCTCTACTGATCCCCCTGATACTGCAACCTTTACTTGCAAGTCAACCAAGCAATAAAAGGGGTATTGTGATCACTCGTGTGAATATCCAATCGCCAGTAGAATCAGGACATTGATCAAACACGGCTCTGATCTCTGCAGTGAATGCAGTGAAATATACTGGGAGCTAACCAATGGACAGGGATTGCATGCCTTGTTTATGTTGCTGGAAGTGATGCAATACAAGTTCCAGTGGTAGACAGGTTTGAAGGTAGACCTCAAAATCTGCCCCTTAATAATGCTAATCCCTTAAGCTTTCCTTATTAATGGAGTCCTGTAGCTCAGTGGTTAGAGCACTCGCTTTGCAAGCAAGAGACCTGGGTTTGATTCCTGGCAGGGCGAAACCTTGGGCAAGTTTCCTTACTCCACACGCCTGATAATAATCTCTCAAAAAAAACAATAATACATTGGTCATTTCAATCCACGACTGTTTGTGGGACACTGCTGTGCGCAATTGGCTGCTGCACTTTGCCCACAAATATACGGTCAATTCACTTTACAGTCTGTTCTGTGAAGCGCTTTGAGACATCGAGAAGAGGTGAAAAGTACTATATCAAATGCAAGGATTATTATTTTTATTATTATTATGATCCCTTAAGAGTTATTAGGCAGCCCCAAGCAGATGGGCTCAGGCTCAGGCTCTAGGCTCTATTCATTTTTCAATTGTGTGGCTCAGCCCGACGTATACTGAGGTTTTTCCCTTGAATCACAAGAACCATCCGACTTGGGCCAAGTCAGAGGCATGTGAAGGTTGCTCAATAGAAGCTGCCAAATGGTATCCAGTTAGAATTTTAAGCCCCCCCGCCTCCGACACCCCCCCACACACACACACGTACGCACAAAATACTACTGTATTGCTCCTAACTTGTGGCCAGACCACTCACTCTCCTGCAGAGCAGTTTATCACCACCTACTTGCGTCTCTACCAACATAGTCAATTTAGCTTTGAAAGAAAATAAACAGCATTTTTTTTATTTAAAAATTGCTCGTGTTTACATACAAGCACTTGTGAATTTATTCCCCTCTCAGTTTGATTTTTAAGTGGAATATAAATTGGGTATAAGTTAGACTTGGAACCGAGGCTGGAGCCAACAAAGGACCTGCTTCCCCAGAAGAGCTGGTGTAACCTGCCAACACCTGCACTGACTTCACAAAGACTGGGGGAGGAACTTCCTCTCATGCTTCTCCTGCTTTGAAATATAATTTATTATTACAAGCGTATTTAGCAGAGATATGAATATGTATATTGTAGTTGAAAATAATTTTTTTCTTTTTCCAGGACACAATGACTACATGTGCCCTGCCACGAACCAGTGCACGATTGATAAAAACAGGAGGAAAAGTTGCCAGGCCTGCAGGCTGCGTAAATGCTATGAAGTGGGCATGATGAAAGGTGGTATGTAGTAATTAGCTTTATAGTTCTCATATAATGTGTGTGCTTGGAGTCTTCAGAATGTAAAGTCAGAAACATGTTTATTTTCACCGGTGGTAGTTAGGTGCAAGATATGTAAAACATCCTAAGATTTATGTTCATTTTCTGGATCCAGTTCCAGCCCTTGCTGTCTGTGACATTATGAGAACTTACATTATTCAATGATTGTCTGAAAATATACAAACTTGCATCACAACGCATTCTGGAATGCATTGCCTGAAAGGGTGATCGAGGCCGATTCGATAACCACTTTTAAAAACGCGACATTTGAGGAGGACGGGTTTGCAGGGTTATGGGAAAAGGGCTGGGGAGTGGGATTGACATTAATTGCTCTATTCCGGACTGGCTTAGTAAGGTGGAGTGTGCAACCATGGATGGTGATGCTGTCAGCGCCTGAAGTGAGGAGGCGCTGACAGGAGCCAATGAGGAGAGCCTCGGTCTTATTGACATTCAACTGTAGAAAGTTAGCTCTCATCCAGGACTTGATGTCTGACAGACAATCTGGAGGGATTATTATTATGTACGTGGATGACTCCCAACTCTATCTCTCTGCCTCCACCTTCGATACCAGGACAACTGACACCCTGACAGACTGTCTGTCAGACATCAATTCCTGGGTGAGAGCCAACTTTATACAGCTGAATGTCAGCAAGACCGAGGCCCTCCGCACCTCAGGCACCGGCAGCAACAGCATCCATGGATGCACATTCCGCCTCACCAAGCCAGTCAGGAACTTTGGCATCTTGTTCGACCCTCAACTGTCCTTTCTTCCCCCATATTCGTGCCATGACCCACTGTGCCTTCTCCCACCTCTGCAACATTGCCTGACTCCGCCACTGCCTCACCCCTCAGGCCGCCAAGACCCTCATACATGCATTCGTCACCCCAAGGCTCGACTACAGAAACTCCCTTCTTGACGGCCTCCCGAACTCTTCCCTCCACAAACTGCAGATCATCCAGAACTCTGCAGCTTGTGTCCTCTCCCGCACCAGGCTCCGTAACTCCATCAACCCTATCCTCGCCCGACTCCACTGGCTCCCCATCCCTCAGAGGATAGACTTCAAAATCCTCATCCTCACTTTCAAGGCCCTCCACCGCCTTGCCCCCACCTACATCTCTGACCTGCTGACCGTCTATTAACCTGTCCGCTCCCTCCGCTCAGCAGGCTCCGGCCTGCTCCAGGTCTCCTGCCCGACCTGTCCTACCATCGGCAGCTGGGCTTTCAGCCTCTCTGCCCCCACCGTTTGGAACTCCATTCCACAATCCCTTCGCCTTGCTCCCTCTCTTGCCTCCTTCAAGGCACGACTCAAGACCCTTCTTTTTGACCGTGCTTCAGCGGCCCTCTTACTCCCTCTGTCCTCCCTCACCCCAATCCTGCCCCCCTAGTTCGGATCCTGACCCGCAACTGTTCAGCATCGTGGGACGTCTTCCCGACGTAAAAGGCCCTTTACACATGTAACTTTGTTGTTGCTGTTGTTGCATTCATATAGCACCCCTTATGCAGAGTAGAGTCCCAGAGCGCTTGAGCACATAAGTAGTATGAGTAGCATCCCAGAGCGCATAAAGACTAGTGCTTGAAAGAACTTTAATAGCGGTTTTAATAGTGGTTTAATAGCTTTTTATCAAGTTGACCTCTCAAATTACTTAATTTCCGTTAAGTGTAAAGGCTTAATTCAATTAAAGATCTGAAGAGGTATGTGGTTAAGGCAGGGCAGTGGGATTGAACGAACACCTTGCTCTTTCTCTGAAAGCTGTTGCAAACTCAATGGGCTGAATGGCCTCCTTCTGTGCTGTAAATTTCTACGATTCTGTGAATTTTTTTTGCAGCAAAAATGGCAGCCATTTTTCACCCATCAGTGGCCCGACAAACAGCCATGAGGTGAATGACCAAATCATTTGGAGGACTGTTGGCCAGGACGCTGGGAGAAGCACCCTTCTCTTTTTCTGTAGTTTCTTTGGATTGTTGAAGCCTACGTGTTTTATAAGTTGCTTGGTTACTGCAGTTAAATTTTAACCGATCAGATTCTTGATGTAGCCAATCCTCACTAAGAAACTCTTGTTATTTTAAACTACTCATTATGATTAACTTTGTTCATCGGAGGTAATTGCATTCCTTTGCGACATAACCTCATATATTTAGGCATTTGTCATGGAGTATTTTTCATTAGAACAAAGAACAAAGGCACATCATATTCCTATTTTTTCCTCTTTGAAGATCATCATGCATCTTATCCGCAACCGTTTTGATCTTTAACGTCTCTGTAACTGCTGTCAGTGCCATTGTGTAACTGGCCAGCAGGACAAAGCATTCAAGTGAGAATATTCAATATCTTCCCTCCCTCTTTTTTCCCTCTGCCAAGATGGAACCCCTTGCTTTCTTCCCAGAACTCCAGTTAATAACCTGACCGCAATGCTGCTAAGCTGCTAACTAAAATCGTTGAGCCACAGCAGAGCTGGGCAACCTCGGCTTTGAGCTGTGAAACTCCAGCCTTGGCTTAACCTTTTACTTTTGCTCCTCATATTGGGTTTCTTGTGTGCTATTTAAACCTGTAGTTTGCAGTCACTGCTTGCTGCAGCTTTCTTAGATCAGACCTGTATTTTCTTATATTCATGAAAAATCTTCTATAATATATATATTCCTATATATCTCATATATATATATATATATATATAAGAATCTCCTATATATTTTCCTGTAATACACAGGAGTGTGAACCCACACCTAGAAAATTCATGGAAAATTCATGCTCTTTTTGGTATTTTCTCATTTGTATAACGAGGGTAATTAATGACTGGGATGGGTTACCAGAAGACCTGGTTGAAACCAAAACAACTGGACTCATTTAAGAAACCGCTTGAATCTGTGATGGGAAGACTATAGGCCGTCAATTCTGGAAAGATGAGATCAGATGGAATGTACGCAAAATATATAGTCAATTCACTTTACAGTATATTCTGTGAAGCACTTTGAGGCGTCTCGAAGACGTGATGAGGCGCTATATCAAATGCAAGGATTATTATTTATTTATTATGGGTAGAAGGGCCAACAAAGTCAGCCAACAGCATAGTGCCACGTTACTGGCTATGTGTCACCCTAATAATGCTGAATCCCATTATTCGTCTTTACATATAGTTCAGCGAGTTGTTCTGCAGCCTCAGCCTCGTAAACATAAATTTAACTTAAACATTTGTTGGTGTTAAAAATGCAGTTATAATGCAGCCCGTGTTAAAGTGAGACTAGCTCCTTGAGGTAGCCATATGCAGTTTGTCTCAAAAAGTGTGTTGGGTTAGACCGTTAGATTGCACAAATTGTGTCTGATTAATAAGAAATCCACACACTACAAATGTAACCACTGTGCAGCATTCTAACTTATTGCTGCCTTCTTCTCAGTATCTATTTTTTCCCTCTACTTCTATCTTTCTCTATAACCCCTCCATTTCCTTTTGTTGCTCTTCAGTACCTCTTTGCATTCATTCCTGTAATAACTTGACTGTTTGTGAGACATTGCTGTGCACAAATTGGCTGCCGCATTTGCCACAAACGACTCAGCCATTGCACGTTACAGTAAATTCTGTGAATTGCTTTGAGACATCACCCTGACATGAAAGGCACTATATCAACTGCAAGGATTATTCTTAACTCTTATAGGTAGTGCTGTATTGAAATAATTTGTATCAGGGTAGTGGGGTGTGGGGGGAGGCTGATTACATCTGGGTCAAGTCCACAAGGCAAAGGGAGGATTTTAAGTGGGAGGCTGTCTAAGGCTCACAAACATTCCACATTTTACTGATGTTGTATTGGCAGATGTTCATTAAAAGCAGTTTCATTCTGGTTTAGCGAAAAAACATTTTTTAGGAATGTTTCAGCTGAACACATGAGGCTGTGTGAAGCCGGTGACGGGTGTGAAGTAAATTTAAATCTTTGTCTTTAGCCTGTATCTTTGCGCCCATGGGCACCTTCCCCATCCCCCTTCGACGACTGTCCACATCCATGTAAAGTGCTCGGAGACATTACTGGACATCAAGGGCACAAGATAAATGCCAGTTGTTGTTCTACCTGCCTATGAGCTGTGGTGATTCGGATGTTTTTCTGCAGTGTTCTCTGCAATCTTTGATTTTGTCATTCTTAACACTGTGATCTATGACAGTCCCAGAATGGGAGATTTTGGAAGGACCAATACTGTGTTGTATCACTGTGTTTGTTGTTTCAGTTTGAAATCCAACTATAGGAATCCTGCTTCCAATAATAAGTGCATTTTTCTAATTCTTAGGTTACGTTTAAGCAGAATATTCTGAACTGACCTTTGATTTTGATGTTTGCTCTGGAGTTTCACCTCCGCTAGGAGGGAATCGGGTGCCAGACCTGGAGGGAGATGTGCAGTTGTTCAGTATATTGGGTGGTGGGATGGATGAGGTGAAAATTTCCCAGTTGAGCCTCTGAACCTTTTCCCCAGCACTTTCCTACATCATATATCCAATGTACATCATGGGTCAAAGTTGGACTGTCAGGGAAAACTATTCCACAGCCGTGCTATGCTAACTCCACCCATAGTACTGTGGAGAAGCTCAACTTCTGTACTTGAGGAAACCTTGACCACTGGGGGGGGAAAAAATATTACATCTTATAACATCTAATTACATTGCTGTCTCAAAATGCTTCACAAATAATTGTCAAGGAGCGTGACTTTTTTCGTAGTCATTTATGCACAGCAAGCTCTCACAAACAGCCATGATCTTGTCCGGGACCCCTTTCTTTTCCAATTGTATCTTCAACATCCACCTGTTTCTCCTGTCATGGCCAACACTCTCCCAGACAAGTAGTTATTCACTCCATGGTTGTTTGGAAGGCATTGCTTTGCAATGTTTGGCTACAAATATCCAATCACTACACTTCAAAGAAACATTGAGAGTTTCAAAGTAATGAGGCACAATACCAAATGTAAAGATTATTATTAAGAAAACTG